AAATTGAACGAAATAATGTTGATAATAAATAATAATGATTCGTGATTTTTTTGGACTGAAACAAATCGATTTCCGTCTATTTTTAACGATTGACACAAAATTTACATTCACATTTATCATAATTAATGTATCTCAACTCACCAACAAATGCTACTGTTATTTTTCTTACCCAGTTAACTAGATTCATTGAAAATTCTCTGTAACATCGATAATAATCAGGAGTTGGCTTTAGGATTAGCATGGAAGCAAAAAAAAAGTCAAACAGAATTGCGCCATTAAATGGATATGAAAATTCTAACACGTATGTTCTCATTATCATTTGCAATTAAAATTACAAATCGGTTGACTTTATTTACCTTTTGCCATACTAATATATTAGTAGCTATAGCTTTTTTAGAAAATAATAGAAACGTATAATCATATCTAGTGGCTTAATTTGGCACAATCGATTGTATACATTTACCAAGTAACCGAATGATTCACTATTTTGTATAAAGAGAAAAATGTAACTATGTATTGGTTCTCAAAAGTAGGTTCGCAAAGTAACTTTAGTAACTCAAACAAATCGATAAAGTTTAAAAAATACATAACATAAATATAACGTGCGAAGTGAATGAAAATTGATCTAGTTTTGCTATTATTTTCTCTAGAAAACTTTTCTACTTGCTATTTCAATTGATTTTCTTGCTACCTTTTCTTTGGAAATTGTAAAATTCCCCGAAGAACTGATGTGATTCAGCCAACGAATTTACGTCAGCTCGTTTCTCTTTTCAGACTTTTTTTTAGCGAAACGTTCTTCTTTAAATTGCCGTTAATGTTCTATACTTATTTTACAAAAATGTTTGGCATTTGTTATATCAAGTATGTCCTACATTTTCAATTCGCAAAATTCATTTTGCGGAATTGGTGTCGATGCCTTTGTTTGGTTGGAATGGTAAAATGAACAAAATTTTCATTTTCAAATGAAAACGTGTCCGATTTAATTAAATTATACCATTTACAGTGAGTAATTGAGGTATTCACAGTTTATATGCGGATTGAATATTAGCTAATGATCTATGGCCGATTTGGAGTTGACCATAATGTGCATATTTTGTTCGAATATTTATTATTTATAATTCCGTGCTGTTGAAATTTATGTTGATAAATCTGGAACCTTTTCGTCCCTGGATATTTATCCAATTGGAAACGTGCCTGGACGTCCATATTGAATAAATATTGAGATTAGCCGAAAAAAATCCAGTGGATGAAAATTACACTTTGTATCGAGTCATCAATAAAAAATTGACAGCAAATATGAAATTGTAAAATCAAATTAGCCGGTCTAGCCTATTGGACAAGAAACACAAAACCAAAACATTTTATCAAACTACTTTGTAAATATGATCTTGGACATTATTGACAAAAATAATGGATTCGTCCTTTATTCACACATACACAGACAACATGAATTCGAGTCGGTGATATATCTAAGGCAAGCGCTCGCAACAATGCATCGCTTATCATAAATTTCAAATGTATGTATTTCTTTTTCAAACATTATCTTTTTACTTTAATATGAATGATTTGGTGCGTGCGTATGAGTCAAACATTTTCAATGTCCGATATAAGAAGATTTTTGGTATTAGATTTTAAATTCTCAAGAGAAGTAAAACTTGAATTTTCCCAAGAGCATGTACATCAGATTTAACGTCCCTTTTTACATTTTATATCCAGCCTCAATTTATGGAGGAAAAGCTTTGCATACCGGTGCCATCTACAACGATTTCGAAATACCACTGTAATTTTCACTTTAGTTATAAAGGAACTTCAATGTACGGCTTCAGAATTCAACTGTACGCCACCTGTTTTGTTTCTTAAATTTAGTGTGTCTCTTGAATTTCAACATAATTTAACCTTTCTAAGATTGTAACGCTGGTATATCATGCCATATGCGTTTTTCAAGGCAGATAGGCCGAGAAAGATACACAGCACCCACATAAATCAATCACATTGAGTATGTATTATGCGACGTCGATGGCCAATAGTCACTCACCGAGCAGATCCATTCATATTTGATATCTATTTCATGCATGATGGTGACAATTCGGTTTATTGTTGTTTCATCAGCTCGATGGGTTTTCTGTAAACAATGGATGAAAATTCAAGATGTACGCATTGATGCCCTTTCATCAGGCTTATGACATCGTCAATCAAGCAGAGAGTCATTTCATCAACACCAACCGAGAGAAGTAAACACCATCCATGGGTCAATAAACATTTTGTTAAAGTCGTCAAATTGAAAGCGACTAATTTACTTCGAATGTAACAATGGTCGGTGCTGTATAGAAATGAAGAGAACAGTTTTATGTAAACAGACAGTTGCAGACATGTTTTGTGGTGTTTTTCAATGAAATGATACATAATATCCTTCCTGCGTGTACAGTCACATCTAAATAAGGAACAATTTTACCAGAATAAGTTGTCTGAAAAAGCTCATATTCTTCCATTTTCAAGCGTAAGATGTATTCTATTCTCGGTTTGATTAAATCGAGAACAAAAGGGCAGACAAAATGAGTTAAAATGATATTAATCACATTGCAATGTTATGGGCAGACTTTTATCAAAACAATTCTTTTATTTGGCGTAATTTACTTTGGGAGGCTGAAGCGAGAGCGGTGAAAATGAATTTTTATTCAATTCATTTCAACAAAGAGCAAGAAAAAAAAATAATTAGAAATCAGCAAACTTCGTTGAATAATCTACAATTTGGTAAAACATTGGAGTTTTTGTAAAAAATGGGCCTCTATAAATGAGAAAAAAACATTTTGCTAAGTCAGAAGAAACAGCGTTTTGTTGATAAAAAAGTAAATCCTAGGAAACTAGTTGCATCGCGACTAAAGTAAGACACAAACAAAAAAAATATATTTCAAAAGTTTTTGAATAGCATTGTGATTTCTGTCGCTGCTATAGAATACTTTGCACCGTTGCCAGATGAAATTAAAGAAATGCATGAATAGCAAAAAAAAACTACTACACATACATAACAAAGAAAGACAGAAGAGAAGTAGTTTGATAAAGATCTCGCAAGCAAAACTATATTGCTATTTTATATTTACCACGAAAATTCAGTAAAACAAAGCATACACCAAAACAAATTTAATTTACTTTTTTCGATTTAATTTTCATTCTTGAAAAGTATGCCATTGCGCTGCACTGCAAGCTGTCACAGCTGTGAAGATTCTTTTCAAATGTCTTCATTTCTCGACTTTTGTCTATTTTTTTAAAAGCAGTTGTTATCTTAAAACTAATTTTAAGTAGAAATTGACGATGGAAAAAAACTTTCAAAACTAATGTGAATGACTTTGAACGTAAATTTGTCGTCAACAAGATAATAAAAGCGTCATTTTATTGCAATTCTCTTCTTTATATATTTCTTTTTTCATGTTTATTTGCATTTCATTTGCAAAGCATTTATGGCTTTGTGCGAAAATAAAATAGAGAAAAAATAAAATTCCATTGTTTTTGTTGAACACTTTTGATTCCAGGCTATAAAAAGATTTTCATTCATGAAATGCCAACGCTTTTTTAGATGCGCTTCAGTGATTTACTAGAGCAAATTTGTTATGAAAAGTCTTTCGTGTTATTTATTCAATAAAAAGAAAAACAACTTATTTCTGTGGTTAATTTTTTTAATTCGACGACAAAAAAAGCGTTTCTTTGAAACATGATGATTGTTTTTCTTTTTAATTATGAACATTTCCTAGGTCCATGTCGTTCGCCCTTCCCCCCACTATTTTGTATCTCCAAACCAATGGCATATATATTTTGTATTTTCACGTGGTATACTTACTTGGTAAGAAAATTTCATCTGTTGAAAGTGAAAAAATCTAAAAAATCTCGATTTTTGTATGGATTTTTTTTTTAAACGGCAATTTTTTTTATTGAAACCTCACAAGGAATTTTTCTTTGTATTTTCATCATACTCAGCATGGACCACTGAAAAAAATACCAATCATCGAAAGTGAAAAAAATCTCAAAAATAGCGACTTTTACGTGGTATACAGTGAATCTAATTTTTTTGATAGACAAAATAACAAGCAAAGTAAGCAGAGAAACTCTCCACTAACATAGGATTCATATACGAATGGCGTGTGAGTGGAGTGTGTCATGCAAAATTTTGTCTACCAAAAGTATTAGATTCACTGTACTTAGAATTTTGATACTTCACCTGATCGAAAAACACCAGCCATCGAAAGTCGAAAAAATCTGAACAGCTTTGTAGCAGATTATTTTTTGATCCGAAGAAGTTTTGACAATGGAGGTACTCCCCTGCCCCCAATATCCCGAATGGGCCCCCCTTAATTTCACAAACTTATTTTTTCGGCACTTTACATCTGTACTAAAGAAATTTAAAACTTTTATTAACACTTCGATATGTTTATTGGTTAGTAATCAACTGCAAAGTACTAGGTTTTTATTTTGTTGGTCCACTTTGACAACAGATTTTACATAAATCGGACCCGAAGAATTCAAAGGTGGCAACCGTTGTAAGAAATTAGTTCACATTTTTTGGATTTTCCGGTTTGAAACATTTCTTTTGGAATGATAAAAAAATTGAACTAATTTCTCAAAACGGTTGCCACCATTGGTTTGGAGATACAAAATAGTGGGGGGCCAACGACATAGACCTACACTTCCTTTGGGATACATAGTACGATTTTACCAATTATTATACTGGAAATGTTGTTTCTTCGAATGAAAAATTTTCACCAAGGGGATATCCACGAAAAGTAAAATTAGCATACTACTAGTAAAACTTCTATTCAAAAACTAGAGTATACTAGCACTACACACGTATACACTTTGGTTTCTTGCAATAGTTCATCAGAATAAACGAACTGAATAGTATTGAATTAAAATAAATTAAAAGTAATTAAATACCTTTTATTTTTATTTTTTAAATAAAAATATATTCAATGACATTTAACCAAGCACATTCCATTTTTATTAATGTGTATTTACTTCAATTTACGAATTGCAATTGGAAATGCAATGATTGTTTTTTAATATTTTTGAAATCTAGTTTCTGTTTATAATTTTTAAGTTGATTCCATTCTTCAGCACCAATGTCACCGAATGATTATCAAATTCTAATTCTCGGTTCTTCTCCATACACTCAAAATTATGTTTTTGTAAAAGCATTATCAAGCCGATTTTGGTGACCATTTTTCCCATCCGCAAACCTAAAAATCGTTCATTCATTCAAAAATCTCTTTTGATTAATTGAGTCACTTGAATTGATCACTTGAATTTTGACAATTAATTTTTATTACAAACATGACCTTACCGATACAAGTGCTATACATGAAAAAAAAAAACATATCGCTTCAATTAAAATCAAATTAAAATGTCGAATCAACAGTATCGCTTACCGTGGTCCATCGCCGAATGGAATAAACGCATTCGCATTGTAATTTGGATTGCTTTCTGAGAATCGATCCGGCATGAATTTGTCGGGCTCGGGAAAATATTTTGCGTCTCGCATTAAACCAAGATGTGATATAATAATTGGAGTTCCTTCTTTTATCACCAAATCCGTATTTGGTATGGGATAATCTTTTGTGCAGATACGATTGAGAAACGGCAATGTTGGATATTTCCTCAGTGACTCTGTATTTTAATAAAACAAACGTATTACTTACAACATCACTGTGCAAACATGACAACATTCGTTTACCCAAAACACAATATTCCAAAAATGTCATCTCGTTGATGCTCTCATATGAAATAACATTATCATGTCTTTTCAAGACTTCGTCGATTTCATCGTGCAGTCTTTGCATTAGCGTTGGATTTCGTGACAATTCAAATAAACAGTTGGCTATTGCTGATGCTATAGAAAGCAATGCACATCCACACATACATAAATACATTACTTCCCATTGTCAATGATTCATTTCATCTTACCTGTGGTATCGAAACCAGCCAAATAAAATAGACCCACTTGTCCTGCACATTGTTCAACTGTCATAATTTCCTCGGAATTTTCGTTTGATTGCTCGATCTTTTCGTACTCATTGTCGCCTTTGACTTTGCCGGTCTTACGCAAGTCCATCAACAATTGAATTAAATCGTTGCGCGATGTATTGTGTTTTTCTCGATACTCCATCGTATCCCGAACCATGTTAACCATATAAGATTTGAAATCTTCTGATAATGATGACATATGCAGCATATAAAGTATCCTTGAAAAAAAAGAAATTTTTTCAACTGAAAATCCATGTGGGTTAACTATGAAATTTTTTGTGTGCACTTTACTTTGGACAAAAAAATGCGCCAATCAAACGAATTCGATTAATTATTTGACCATTGTTCACGTTTCTTTCCATATCACGAAATGGATCGTTTGGATTGTCCAACGTATTGACATCTAATCCGAACGCAACCGTACCAATCACGTCCAATCCAAATCTTAAGTGGATGAAAAAAGCAATTGTTCAACTTGAGTTTCATGTATGAATAGAAATTTAATTCATGCAATTCACTCCTATAATCAAAACTTTATTTCTGTCACTGAGCTATAGCAATATAACAAGTGCTCACCTGATTGTCAGATCTTTTATCTCAACAATTCCATTTGTGTCGGCCGATTGTGCAACTTTTTCTCGTAGTCTTTCACCAATACTAATTATACTTGGCATCATGCCCTTTAATTTTCCTGATGTAAAAGTCGGAGTTAACCTTTCAAAATAAATGTGAATTGAAAAGATTGTTTTTTTTTGTTCACTTTCAACATTGTTTCGCGTCTACCTTCCTCTTGTTGTTTTCCACTCTTGTCCTGTCATCATCAGCATGTTATTTGCGACTGGATCGTTTGGATTGTGATAAATTCCTCTGTCATAAAAACTGTTGGCATCTGTTGAAAGGATGCATTTCACGAGGTCAGCGTCACGCGCTAATAATGCCGGTCGAAATAGTAAATAAATACCAACAATTGGTTCATTCGAACTTTTATACAGATCATATAAATTCATTCCCATGCATTTTCGACCCAACGACGAATCTGCCACATTTCCAAACGGCATCGATGGTTTAATGTACGAAAATGGAGTGCGCTCCCAATAACTGTACATATGTTTTATCCATAAATACAAAACACTAACCAAAAATAACAACAAATATACAATTATCATTTTGCAGCAGACGAAATTTTATGCGTTTCAATTTTGTTAAATTTATTTTTTCTTTCAATTTTTAAATTGCCTTAAAAATGATGCGCAAAATATAAAGTCACAAATTTATCACATGAAAGTGACTTTTTGTTTTGAATGCACTTCACCGACTGATCTCATCATTATAACGAAATATGATGTTTGTACTTTATATACACACTTCTGACAATTTACGAGCAATAAATTGATGATAATGCAACTGATCCAATAGAAACATCAACACTCATTATATCATTCTGATTTATATCAATACTTTGTGAGCGAGGGCTGAGCTCTTTGGCGCAGTCCTCGTTTGCGAGCAATAAACACTGTGAAATAAACAGTAAAGCAGTTGATTCAATCAATATTAAATTGATTTAATTTAAAATCAAATCGACTTTTTTCGCTGCTATCGCAGTATTCTTTCCATTTTATTTTATAAATACTTTTACAGAGATAAAGCAAAAAACACAAGCAAATCAAACGAATTTTAAATGAAAAATGTATCTAACAAAACACAGACATCCCTCTGTGCACCTATGGTATGAAAAAGATAAAAATATCGACAAGTATTAAATCATCACTGAAAATACCAAATAACTGATAAGCACAAACGTTTTTTTAATATATTACGGCTTTGTCGGTATTTTCGACCATGCCTCAATCAAAATAAATCTTGGTTTTAATGCTAGTTAGTATTTTTGATATTTTAATACAGATTCACCCCTTGTGTTTAAGTCATTGCAAATTTTAGCACGTATCAAGACTTCATTTACCGAGACTTTTTTTTAAGTGAATAGCAACCAAAAATGTGCGATGTTAATTGACGAAACATGGGAATGCTTACAAACAGCAAATAACAAACATATATGGATTGGGCTATATTTAAACTCGAAAAATGTCATTAATATCAGATCGCGCTGTATAATCAGAAATAACGAGTAATCAAGCGAGTATTTCATTCAATTTCAAGTGTTTCTATTTAAATGGAATTCAGGCTAAAATGCGAAAATTGTGCTTGGAATTTAAAATGAATTGCATTAAATTGAAGCCAAATTCATTTAATTCGCTAGACGGTCTCAATCAGTATGACATTGACATGCCAACTAATGATATGTTACATATCAAATGTGCATTTAATTCAATATCTATTTGCTGTCTTGTTGGCTGGCATTTATTACCACTTTTTTGTTTATAAAATACAATGCATGATATAAGAACACAAATTGTGATTTGCATCATCCGACAAAGTCAGTGTAGTAACAAAGAAAATACCAGTCGCTCAATGAATGAGAATATGATGGGATTTTTCACATAATTTTATGAGATGTGATGCAGAAAATAAGCTAAATGTATTGAACGCATTAAGTTAATTGTGAATATTGATGCGCTAAAGTATTCCATAGTTTGCAACATTATTTCAATATTATTTTATAGCCGGGATGTGGTGTAGTTTGAAGTTTTAAAGTTTATTTGTCTTTTATTTTTCTTTGTTGTAAGAATCGTTTTTCTTCAAGTATTTGCCAGAAGAATATGATGAGAAAAAAAATTGTGCTGGCATCAAAGGTAGACGAAGTTGGAAACATTTCTTTCTTGTTTTATAACACTTTTGAAAGGTAAATTGTGTGCCATCAACATCTAAAACGTTCGAGTGAATGCACACGTTGTACCGCAATTTGTTTGCGAACGAAAGTAAAGACTTTACGCACGACTTACCCGTGCATTCAATTTGTAAAATAAACTCGGTTGCAACAAACGAACTGGAGTCTCTTGGAGAAAAGGAAGTGGTGTATGTCTGTGTGTGAATGAACGAAAGCAGAACAACGTAATAAATCTATTACGAACGAACTGCACATACGTGTGTATTCGGTGTGTATTTGGCATGCGTGTATCGTATGTACGATTGTGTCCGTAAATGTTTGGTATTTATTTGTGCACAATTTTCATGCATTCAATACGATCTTGTAAGAGTATTTAATTTAATGTTTTGAGTGCAGTTAATAACGATTACCGATTAAAAGCTATTGTTTTCAACTGAAAGAGTGGTTGTTTTCAGATAGAAGAGGTTTGAAGCATGTTCTATTATCGTGTCATGCGAATTTTGCAAATCATTGTTTATTTCTCAACGTTTACTTTCCTCCCATTTCTTTTCGGTTAATGTTATGTCGGTGCTATGGTGTAATAAATTGCTGAAATTTCACCCGCATTGAAAAGTTCATCACATATGTCTGTGTGTGCGTAGCGAAAACAATGGTGGTGAATCAAATAAGAAGTCATTAAATTGCATATCACATTCAACTCGTATCATGCGTGCAAACGTTCACTAAAAAATATGTGTGGTATTAGTCATTTAGACTTCATATAGATTTGCGGTGAGTGTCGACTGTGTGCCGATGGGCAAATATAAAACAAGTCAGAATGGCTTTAATTTCATTAATTATCATCAATTGAGTTGGAGCGCGTGCACACGCTATTTATGAAAAATTTCGCGGCTCTGGCTTCACCAAAAACCTGAACACATACCATCAATGGCATCAATTTTGGTTTAATATGCGATAGTAAATCATTTTCAAATGTTACAACTTATACGATTTCCATTTTATCGCGTACATATCAAATCTTTCATAATTCATAACAAACATTTGAGCAGAGCGAAAAAAAACTATACGCATTTATTACGCAACATTATTTTGTCATTTTAGACCAAATCGTCTAGACATACCACCTGATTCAAAGCATCAAACAAATTCTACATACACTTCCATTTGTCATATCATACTCTGGATTAGCAAATATGAAAATTGACAGAGATAAATTCAAATTATGCCAATTTGATTGTCTAGTTATTACTTTCAAGTAATTATACGTTGCGGTGATGACACTGTGTCATTTTCAAGTAATTCACCGCCGAAGACTATCAAACCAAGATGAGAATTATCTTATTCAAGTCACTTCTCAAGAATGTTTCGAATAATTGTCACCGTGATTGGTTTTTAATAAACATCAAATGAATGGATCGCATTTCTAAATTGAAATTGTCATCTTCATCAAAATGAAATACTAATCAAAATTCATTTTCACAATAGAAATGAAAAATGTATGATTTCCCGGTCGGTACTCGAGTATTTAATACCGCTGAAAAGAAAAATACAGTCTCCAATTATGAGTGGCAGCCATCAAGTTTTCAGCGCGAATGCGTCCCTTTTTTTATTTGAGCGATGGTTCACCCATGCAATTTTGTTGCTTAACACACAAAACTATATACCTTCAAATATAAATGCATATAGTATATGGTATCTATTTGAAGGGAAATCGAAAATTAAATATGAAGATTGAAATATTTTGTCTTGGGGGATTCGATTGTCAACGCCAAATAAATGATGTTAGTGATAGTAGTGTTTTTTTTTGTCATATAGATGCGAAGAATTCGGAATTGAAGTTGTCGCCATATTGAAACAATATTCAATAACAATCCAACTTTAGTGTGCAATAAAAGTCCCTGGTAATTTGATCGGGTATAAAATTTGAAAAGCGTATCGCGTTTGGTAACCTGAGATATTTCCAGCAATGCGGTTATTGGAGCGTGTGCATGTGTGACATTCTGTGGAAATGGATTTTGAAGCGTTTGTTTAGATTAGCCATGATTACATATTTGCATGTGATTTATTTCAATTCTAAGTAAATACGCAAAACAGTAGTCGACAATTCTATTGAATCGATCTCTAGTGAAACGTGAGCATATATTCACATTCAAAGCAGACGAGTCAATTCTGCATCCCATTATTAACATATAATTCCGTTCCAATTACATTGCTACCTATGGAGTCAAGTTGATTTCAGGGAATCGATTTGCTTATTGCAAATAAAAAGAATTGCGTAGCGCTTCAACAGGCAACAAAAGAGAGAGAAAGAGAGAGGGGGGGAGAAGAGAGTCCATGGAGTCATGGAGTCCAGTTCTAAATGTTGAATTTCGTCAATTTTTTGTAATTATTCTTAATGCTTTTCGCTACAAATAGATCATGGCTATTTTTCAATCAATTTTTTTCAATTATTGAAACAGAGAATGATTTAAACGAAACGAATATTTAACGAAAATGTTTATATTTATCGCCACACGCTTATGAACCTTTCGATTTTAGAAAATGTCAACGAATTGAAAAAGGACCAAAATATGCCAACATTTAACATCCAATTTTCAAATGAATTAATGAGTTTTTGCTATATTTATACAAAGCTCAACATGAATCATTGGCGTTTTATTTAAACATATAAAATGAACCAGTTCGGACTGAATCTAATGTAGAAATTACGTAGATAAGAAGAGCAACACACACATATAATGTCAAAGCATTGGGGTAAGCCGAAAAAGATGCCAAATGCAGATACATTCAATGTATGACGACCTATAACATGTTCAATGTTATCGATACGCATTGATTAGACGCGAATGTGGTGATTCACTATTGTGCGCCATTGCATGAAAAACGCTTGAAATAAATATAGAGAGCAAGTAAATCAGCTTCCATTCATCGTATCAAGTGATATGTAAATAATATAGATTATCGACATTTCCGACTTTCATTTTGATTTGCCCTCCGTACCGGATCTGTTAACCATTGTATATGTCGGATTTTCAACACACTCATTCACGTTTGGAGATTTGTTTTGTTTGCCTAGCGATTTCGTCGTCATCGTCTTTATATTTATTGGTTGTTGTCGTGCACGGCAACAATAATCTATATAATGTTTTGTGTTTTAGAAGAGATGCGAAGGTAATTTAGGATATGTTTGATTTACATGCGATAGATGTTTTGTCTGTAGAAGCATGCGGATGTGATGCCACGGAAAGAAAATGCTGTGTATCATGTTAAGCTGATTAAAATCCACAACTGTGAACACGACGACAGTGGTGAAAAGCAAATGTATCTAGTGAAATGTCGTGATATATATGAATTCACTTGTTCGATGATTAGGCGAGATAGTAGGAGATGAACAAAGTAAACGACAACAAATGATTCAAACCGATTAAACCTAATGTTTATTAAAGGCAAAAGTTTTATGGGTTTTTTACCCGCATTTCGACTCTCTGCGCGCGGTTTTTTGCAATTGTAAACTTTGATTCACACAGCCGCACAACCAATAAAAATA